TGACCTTCATGTTTTACCGATCTGGACAACAAGACACTTTCAGGAATAATTCAATTAATATAATGAGCAGGTTGAAGACGATTATTCTTTACCTTGAGCTGGTGGAACGATACTAACTCTCTGCTTCGATCATCAGAACTTTGACGTGATGAAAAATAAATAAGTGGAAATATATAGGAAGGATTGGTAGTCAGAGCATAAGTGTTGGATCACTCATAATTAGTATATCATATTAGTTGGACCAAATATTAATGTAGTCTACAGTTGAATATCTTTAAAGGATTGTGATAAGTGTGTGTGATGACTTTGACTATTGTCGGGAATGTATGTAAGTCGTCTGGTATGCATGATGTACAAGACATACATGGACGTTTACCGTAGTTCTATGGTGAGGAAGGATTTATAGGTAACACTTGTTATATGTCCAACGATGGAGACCGTTTCCATTTAACTGTTTGGATTTCCACAATTTGAGTTTTCCCCTGACATAAGTAGGTCTGTGTGTCAGGTGCCTGGAGGCATCACTACTGGAGACGTGAAAGGTAGCTGTGCCGACCATAAGTTACCCACACTAGTTATTACCAACACTGGATTTATTGCCTCTTGTGTGCTGGCTAACTTTCCCTCACCCTGTTACCCTTTACACGACAGAGTCCTCTAGTCTAGATCACGCCTTCTAGTTTACTCCTCCCCCGAGCTCTCTCCTCCCACATCACCATCAGGGTCCGAGGACATGAACCGCAGCTGTGGACAGTGAGAACGTGTGCCATCACTCTACGTGAATGATTATACTGATGAGGATGATTTCACCTACGTGTTACAGTGTGATCGTGGGTGGTGTACCGTGAGCCTGGAGGAATGATTCTGGGGATACAACGGTAAAGCTAGGATCTGTTGCTCTTGATTTACTGAAAGTATTTGATGAAGGTGATGAGATCGAACCAAAGGCGGTGAGTCAAGACTTGTTTGTGATTTTTAGGCAGAGTTTTAAGTTTGTAGAAGAAAGTTGGCAGACTACCTCATATGCACGCCATAAGGAAGGACAAAGACGGTGGCTATTAAAACCTCATTACCCTCCGACCCCACAATGGCCACTTAACCTTATCTCCTGGCACCAGTGTTCTCACAAGCACCATTAACCCTGCACACACCACACACGTCATTAGCTGGTCAGGTGTCATTAGTCCTGCAGGCCCAATTAGTACAGCACCGTAGACACCATTGGCCTCGTGGCACCACTGTTCCCCCTGACGTCCTAACCCTGGCACACAACACGGCCCTGAGGCACTGGTAGGCTGGACCCTGACCTCAGCAGCGACTCTCACACGCACACATTGACTAATTATCCAAATGGTTAGTTTGTGGTTCACTCCATAACCACCCTGGCATAAGCCACTCTTTTACTCTCCTACATGGGGTCTGGTTCACGGACCGTAAGAAGATTTTTACACGGAGTTACCCAAGATTATCGGCTCTCTCGGTAATGTGCCTTGTTATTGTGTCCACTCTGGATCTTGTAAGTTCAGGGCTACGGAAGGCTAATGGTCATTATGGGGGGGGGGTGAAGTGTTTGATGTTACTATGTGCCTTAAGTGTTAAGGCCATAAAGCTTACATTTATAGTGTAGTAAATGAAGGAAACTAGTATTTACCTATGTTAATGGAAATGTACCGCTTTCACACTAATGTGCACACTGGTGAAGTATCTTTGTTTTTACTTGTTATTTACCTACAGTGTAAGTGGTAAGTGGTAGGGCAGGTAGTGTTGCTCAGAGTACGTGACGCAGCGGACGTTTGGCGTTATGTTTTTGTTTTGTTCTAGTTGTGTTGACTGTAGATCCAAAACGTGTTGGTTTAGATTACCGTACGTTATGTTTCGGTTTACCTGGCGTGGTTAATGTAGTGACCTTGTAGTTATTACTCATCCCTCAGGGTAAACTCCCATAGGTTAATGTTGCCCCACCCTGTGTCTTGGTGGTGGTGGAGTGGATGTTAATACACCCTTGAGAAATTCCTCTGCACCTTCACGTCTGTTGAGAAGGTTGAAGACACGAGAGTGAGTGTCTTGACACCAGATGTTTCCTGTGTCTGAAAAAAACAACATTTGGCTCATCCCCACACAGGAAGTTGTGTTGGAGATATAGTTCTTGTATCTGTGTCTGTCATGTGTCATGTGTCTGTCATGTGTCATGTTGTATCTGTGTCTGTCATGTTGTATCTGTGTCTGTCATGTTGTATGTGTCTGTCATGTGTCATGTTGTATCTGTGTCTGTCATGTGTCATGTTGTATCTGTGTCTGTCATGTGTCATGTTGTATTTGTGTCTGTCATGTACGGTATATACTTGATCTTGTAGGGGAAAGTAGGTCAAGGTTAAAAACTACGCAGGGTTTTTTTCCCTTAATGTTTACTGTACACCGTGTTGAAGGAGTGTGTCAGCTGGTGGACCACAAGAGAAAGCCGACACTTATGCCTGACGCTGCACCTCCGCCTGACGATGCACCTCCGCCCCTGTAGATCATTCGCCTTAATTATTGGTCTTCACATATAAAACATTGAAGTGTAATTTATGACCCAAGTTTTGTTCTTTTACTGTTTTTGTTTTGTTTGTTTTTTGCAAAGAAGAACGTTTATTAAAGAGAATACTGAAAGAAGTCCGTTTGTATCTTAGTTTAAGTAGAAAAGTAAGACTATTTTTTCTGATACCACATATAGTTATCGTCTTACTGTTTTTAATATGATCAGCTTTTTCATCTTATTATATGTAAACAACGATATATTCAGTGCTATGTCAGTGTTACAACGATACGGCTATAAATCTGTTATTACGTTGGTATACAGTGCAGTAATAATAACGTGCGTCATCCACCTGTCGTATTGATTATCATACCTGGGCGTGTGCCATACGTACCTTACCTGGGATATCTAGTTCAGCGGAGTAACTCTAATTTGCATACGTGAAGCTTTATATTTCTGTACGTGTGTGTGTGTGTGTGTGTGTGTGTGTGCACTTCTTGTCATCACTAAAGGCCGTTTTTTTCCCCTTTTCCCCCCTGGTGTGCTGTCAAGCCTGGGTGTTCCCACGGTCTGCTGGTGTTGTGGTCGTCAATGGTGGAGTTACCAGCTGTGTGACTGTGTAAGTAGGTCACTGGTGTATGTATGTATGTATGTATGTGAGAGAGTTTTTATTCACCTCCTTTATTATACTAAAGAACAATGAGCTTCATAATATAATGATCAAATTACTCCTGCAACATCGACATCATTGACCCGTTCATATCGTGTTGTGAGGTAAACATACAACACACCCGGAGTTTATTGTGGTGCAAGTTAACAACATTTGGTGGTATTTTGGCAACATTGTGCCTATTTGTTAAACGTTAAGTTACCAACATCATCACAGTTTGTCGTCAATAGTTAGATGGAATAGTGGATGTTTAGCCACATTACGAGGCACTCAATCATGCACTTCAGGCCACCTTGTTACATATTAGTTCTGATATCTTATCCATTATAAACTCGGTAACATCACAATTAACGGTTAACGATGTGTACAGTTTAATCACCTTGTGTGTTTGGTACACACTTGTTACACACTTAAACTCTTTTGTTTGTGTCAGTGTTAGGAAGGAAGGCGACCTTGGTGTTTGCAGTGTGTGTGTTCTGCACCTGGCATTCCACCACGTGTTACTCATGGTCAATAATAACTTTTTGTTTTGATTTGTTATGTTTAGGTTTTTTTCGTGTGAGTAGCAGTCGGTCTTGTGGTGATGCTCTTGATTTGGGGTTACGTTATATTCAGCATTTTCTTATATTTTTATTTATTCTCTACCGTTGCATTTATTATTATCCAATACATAGCATCTTTGTGAGTACAGTACAGTGTGCAGTTGAACATGGGGGTGAATTACTTATTATTTATTAGATTATACAATGAAAAACATCATTGTGTATAATTCTTCGGTGTTGTAAGGAAGCCAATTGAGACTCAATATTTCTTAATTTATCCGAGATGTGATACGTGTACCTACCGACCTGTAGATGGTTCATCCCCAGGTAGCGTGGCAGGTGGGTGGGTGGGGGGGGGGAGGCAATGTAAGGTAAACACTTCTCCTCGCTCCCACATAGTGTCCTTCACATTCCTGTACGTGCAAGTCCTTAACCCTGGCTTCTGTCCTACTTTAATGCCAAGGTCCTTAATGTGTCCTCCTGCAGCACTGTCAGGGCCTCACCCAGGGTAATGCCAAGGTCCCTGAGTGGTATTGTGGTTCTTGTGTAATGCATTGTAAGGTTAGCGTTTGGTTAGGTTAGTGTTTGGTTTGGTTAGTGTTTGGTTTGGTTTGGTTAGGTTTGGTTTGGTTTGGTTAGGTTAGTGTTTGGTTTGGTTAGGTTAGTGTTTGGTTTGGTTAGGTTAGGTTATTGTTTGGTTAGGTTAGTGTTTGGTTTGGTTAGGTTAGTGTTTGGTTAGGTTATTGTTTGGTTAGGTTAGTGTTTGGCTAGGTTAGTGTTTGGTTTGGTTATTGTTTGGTTTGGTTTAGTTAGGTTTTCGTTAGGATGGTTAATCTCCAGGTGATCTTTATTTAGTGGCAAGAGGATTATTTACTTCTGGATTTAACGTCATCCCATCCTACAAAGACTCCATCTGTGGCAGGTTTAATCCACATGTCGTCATAGTTTTGGATGGCAGGATATCTGGGTGTTTTGTATGCAGCTCTGGAGGCTTATCAATTAATATCCTGATGTATACAATAGCTTCTACCTTTAGCTCCACTTTTATGTACACTAATATAAACCATTATTTGTGTTCCTCTTTATTTCTCTATATTATATGTTATTGCAGACTGTCACCCTAATGTATAGCACTATAGTAACTGCCCATTATACCATAGGGGGCATAGTTTGTGAAGAGGTAGCACAAGGTATACGTGTGTGTGTGTGTGTGTGTGTGTGTGTGTGTGTGTGTGTTTTATGGTAATACTCATGTTCTCGTTTCCTCTCCTAGGGTCACAATGGCTTCGACGAGCTGCGGCGCTACATCAAATCAGGCGGGGAGTTCTGCAAGGAGCTGGCGGTCATCATGCACGAGAGGTGAGTCTACCTAATCTACCTGGCCTACCTGGTCTACCTGGCCTACCTGGTCTACCTGGCCTACCTGGTCTACCTGGCTGATACATAAATTTGATGATGTGTATAACCTTGAGTATGATTTATTGTGTCGCCATATTGCCCTACGAACCATTTATTTTGTGTTTATCCCGTTCAGTTTAGGGGCCAGTAGGTGGACAGATACTAAACAAGAGTCAAATCCACAATGATAAATGAAATGATGTCAAACCCACTCATAGCCTTCTGCCACCCTCACTTCACAGAGTAAATACTTATTAGGGAGGAGCAGAAGGGGTGATTAAGCAAAAACTGAGGCGGTTGTTGTGTAGTTAATAACGTGACTGGAGAAGGAGAGTGTTTGATATGACACACGGAACCATCTCGTCTCTCAGGGGTGATTGTGATGGTAGTTTAAGGAGTGGTTAATGACCTTACAGTGAGTGTGTGGGGGGGGGGGGGCTTTAGAGGCGCCACAAGAAAACAACCTTAACTATTCAGCGCAGGTAAAGGGGTGATTATAAAACACTTAAATGCCATACAGGTGTAATTAGCAGTAGTTAATGACCTAACAAGGAGGCGGAGTGAAGTTTTGGAAAGTAGTTAGGGGTGTGTGTTGACAAAGACTGCGAGGGACTGATTGGTAAAGTGACATACTCGAGTTAATTACCCTCCAGTTAACAATAACCTGTACTGTTACCTGTATTGTTGTATGCTATGTTGTGTGACTCGGGTAAAGGTGAGTTGTATCTACCTCACCTGGGGAAAAAAAGTTTAAAAAGTTACTCATTGTACCTGAAAGTAAAAGTTGCCGGGGGAAAATATATAGAATTAAGTGTTGCAGCCAATGTTGTTGTTGTTGTTTGTTGTTGTTTCGTCATTGAGTTATTTAAGGGAGTATTGCCTCTCTCTCTTCTGTACCTCATTCATCTCTTCCATGTTTCTTTATATACTTTTCTCATGCGAAGGATGATGGGGAGGGGGAAGGTATTTTGATTTGTGTCTGTCTGTTCATCCGTCTCTCTCATCCAAGTTTGTCAGTCAGTCAGTCAAGCAGGAGGATTAAGTGGAAAAATACCAAATGTCAACCACTTAAAATGTTTTAGGTTTGTTTATTTGTCCTTGGATTACCTGATGGTGTATTTCCTGCTGTTGGATTTGTATACCAGTGAGCGACATAAATCTCTCTCTCTCTCTCTCTCTCTCTCTCTCTCTCTCTCTCTCTCTCTCTCTCAAAAATGCTCCACCAAGACATAATATTATCAATAAATTAAAAAAGAAGAGAGAAATGTGTGTGTGGAGGGGGGGGGGCACTACCCAACCAGATAGAAGATTGTTTATATTATGCAGGAGTGTCAGTGGGTGTCACGTTAACACAAACATTGCCCTTCATGACTCAAGGCTGCACCAACACAAGCCACCAACACACACCACCACAAGCTCCTTAACAGACAGTAATGGTTGTGTTATTGAAGGGTTTCATAGGTTAAGTTAGGTTTTGCACGAGGTTAAATTCAGACACTGGAAATGTTAGATTGTGTTTATTTTAACTAGATTAGACTGATGGTATAAATGAATACTGGATTAATTATATCTTCATTATTGTGTGACTATTATCTTCAACTATAGCTGTTTATTTAGTGTTGGAAGATTACCGCATTTAAACCACAACAATTAACAGATGTTCGCCAGGTACACGGTGAGGTCTAGTTCTTTGTAATGAGTTTGTGGTGATGACTGTTTCCTAAGTTCATATTAATGCAAACATGACATAGTGTTGTGTTTTAATCTCACCAGAACACGTTACCTCACCATGTAGCTTGTCTCTCGGTCTGTTCTTCATTGTCACTTTTAACGAGTCACCTTTAGCGCAGTCACCTGTTGTATACAGTTAATCTATACTTTTTTCTCATCAGACAACAGTAGGATATGCACTTCCTTATTATTTTACTGACCTGACATTTATATCATGACTGTGGGTGTGTTTCCGTGTGTGGGAAGTAGTCTTGTAGCCCGGGAGTTACTGTGGTGAGGTTCAGTTAATGGTCACTGAGTCACTCCCTGGTTCAGTAGGGCGTCACCCCTTCCTCACATTTAATTACTATCCAAGGCAAGACTCACATGGTGGATTGTACAGTATCAAAGTGTGTGTTGATCTAGTGGAGGGGGGGGAGGCTTAACCCGGAAGACTCTGAAGATGAAGGGGGAGGCTGGGGTGGAGGTCGACCTTGTTCCTCTCCTTGACAACACTCCGGGGTCTTTGAGGACCATTACTATAAACTCATGGGTCCCAGAAACAACAGACAGACAGGTTGATCAAAAAAAGGGACAGTCAATGTTTAATCTCTATAACATAACCCAAGATTAACGAAGCATCTCAGGTAATCTTAATGTCTGCTGGTAATTACTGAGCATGCAGGTAGTGAGAGAGGCGGCACTTTCTCCACACCGGTTTACTTTCCCACGTCATCTTTAAACATGAAGCTGCACGTGTGAGGTGTGGTTAGGTTAGGTTGTCGTCGGGAACACCACAGTCACCAGTGTGTGTGTGTGTGTGTGTGTGTGTGTGTACAGTCACCATCACCACTTGTTTATATTGATACATGACTAAAAAAAAAAGTGGACATTAGTTAGGATTTACAGATTGCCCCGGAGGGGGCTAGTTTATTGGGCACCCCCTTACATCCTGTGCAAGGTGAAGCGCAGAAGCGTTTACAGTGCCCAACTGGGAAGCATGCGGAGTTCATGCTTGTCTTTATGACTCATGCACAACTCCCTTTTCCTGTGGTGACGAGATAACAGAAACTAAGAATAGCTTCCTCACGTTAGCAGAGTTGGGTACCATGGCTAGCAGGAGGTGTTTGGTGGTGGGGCGAAGAGGCTCACCTATGGCTAAACCTCACACTCCATCCACTCCACTGTTCACTCCACTTCCTCCTCCATCATCACCCATGTTTAGATCACCCATGCTCATTATACCAGCTGCTGAGCGCCCCTTAACAGCCTCAGTATACAGTGCGCCATTATCATCAAGACAGAACTCAACTAAGCATATCCCTCCCTCCCACACACACAATGATATACTGTACTTGTTACCATGGACGAAGACTATACACAGTCATGGCCAACTCTACACGTCGTGAGTCAACCAATGTGTAGGAGGAGTGAATAATAGACAAACTCCCTGGCATCCGTACATGACCGGTCACAATCCAGATTATTTGAGATTCTTAAGTTGCCAATTTTGTTTCACTGGAGGTAATACAACACTGATGGTCAGGGAATAGAACACCAGATCATAAAGATTCCGCCGTAGGGTAGAGGATTGGTTACAATAAACATGTGGAGTTTTTCATTGGCCAGATCGGTAACCTCTTAATGCTTGAGATAAGGAGGGTAGTTTACCTTTGTTTGGAAGAGGAAGTGGTGGGTGTGGTAGGTGTAGTGTTGTGTGTGTGGTGGAGGTGAGGTGGGTGTTGTGGGAGGTATAGTATTCTGTGTGTGGTGGGAGGTGTAGTGTTGTGTGGTGGGAGATGTAGTGTTGTGTGGTGGGAGATGTAGTGTTGTGTGGTGGGAGGTGTAGTGTTGTGTGGTGGGAGGTGTAGTGTGGTGGGAGGTGTAGTGTTGTGTGGTGGGAGGTGTAGTGTTGTGTGTGGTGGGAGGTGTAGTGTTGTGTGGTGGGAGATGTAGTGTTGTGTGGTGGGAGATGTAGTGTTGTGTGGTGGGAGGTGTAGTGTTGTGTGGTGGGAGATGTAGTGTTGTGTGGTGGGAGGTGTAGTGTTGTGTGGTGGGAGGTGTAGTGTTGTGTGGTGGGAGATATAGTGTTGTGTGGTAATGGGTGTAGTGGTGTGTGTGGTAAAAGTTGTATGGGATGGCAGCCAGGTGATCCAAAATAATTATCGGTGTTGCAAGCTTCCCCCCACACCTGCTATTTAACTCTTCACCAGGTAGTTCAGGTGAGTGGTGGGACGTGGGTGACAGGTAACAACGTCTGCTACAAAAACTGGACTGGGGATGAGACCAGGATCAGTCCTTGGATAATGCCCCTTACACAACCAACGCAGTATAATATGATTGGGTATTTTTGTTTTCCTTGGGATATATGGCTTTGCTATTTTTAGAACAAACTTTCATTCATTGCGTTCATAGTAATGATGTTGTGAGTAGGTACGGTACTTAGTGAGGAAGGGAAGCAGGTGGATCGGAGAACTGAATTGAATGTTGATGATATTCACCCCACGTGCTTTCACTATCTTCTACAGCGTGTTTTGTTTACCTGTTGGTGTTCCTGAGTGTTTGCTTTGATAGACCTTCGAGTCTGGGTTTACTTTAGCATCGTACAAGCGCAGGAGACGACGGAAGGTTTGAACTTTCATAAGACAAAAAAGTAACGACAGCTCCCTTTCTCCAGGTCAAGTTTTAGCCCCACACACGCAGGGCTGTGAACTCTGCCGCTCTCTCGCTGGTCTAGCCAAGTGTAAGTTATCGGCTAGTTATCTACCCATCAGGTCATTGATTGAAGGGAATGATCTTTATCAGTTTTTCATGACACACGGGGAGGAGGAACAAGTGTTAGTTTGAGAGTGGTGAAAGCGAGAGTGTAGCAACGAGGCGGCGGGCAGCCCTCCTGCATACCCAGACAGAAAGTTGAGCGAGAGGGCCGCTGTAGGTGAGAGCCTACCCCTTCACGGAGTCATTTTCCCTCATCGTTAAACAGTGTTATGATTAGAGACGGGGTAGGGGGATGGAGGGGGGGGGGTCTGGATAAATACAGTGTGGGAGTAGAGGAACTGGTATAGGTAGACAGGGAGGGCCATTAAAAACTGGTTAGTGAGAGTTGATTCATTCCGGATAAGTTTTCCGTCCTGTGGAGGTGTGGACCCCGCCGGAGGGGTTTCAAATCTAGATGAAAGTAACACGGGAATAAAAAAGGATAATCTCCGAGTGATAGGGTGTGGTATGGGGTAGTGTGGTACGGGGTATTG